GTGCTCCCACAGTGAGAGCGCCACTCCGCTGACTGGGATGAGCGACACTCCCACTGTGGGCCGATCCCCGCAGGCAATGCCCCCCACCAGTGCACGAATCCCGTGCACCGGCTCTCTAGTTCTTTAATAAAAGTATAAACTAGGAATGTAAAAGAAGTGATTGGTTCTTTTTTAAAAAATTATTTTAATTAATCAGTTAATTTATTTTTTAAATTTATTTTTTATTGTTGACTAGAGGCCCGGTGCACGAAATTTGTGCATGAGGGTGTGTGTGTCCCTCAGCCCAGCCTGCACCCTCTTCAATCTGGGATCCCTTGAGTGAAGTCCGACTACCCGTTTAGGCCTGATCGGGATTGGGCCTAAATGGGCAGTCAAACATCCCTCTCACAATCCAGGACTGCTGGCTCCCAACCACTCACCTGCCTGCCTGCCTGATTGCCCCTAACTGCTTCTGCCTGCCAACCTGATCACCCCCTAACCACTCCCCTGTCAGCCTGATTGACGCCTAACTGCTCCCCTGCCGACCCGATTGCCCCTAACTGCCCTGCCCTGATGGCCTGGTCACCCCTAACTGCCCTCCCCCTGCCAGCCTGGTCGCCCCTAACTGCCCTCCCCTGCAGGCCTTGTCCCTCCCAACTGCCCTCCCCTGCTGGCCATCTTGTGTCCACATGGATGCGGCCATCTTGTGTGTTGGAGCGATGGTCAATTTGCATATTACCTCTTTATTAGGATAGTATTATAGATATTTCCTGTTCCCCTTCTCCCTTCCCCCCCATCCTCCCAGCCCCTACCCATCACCCAAGAGATTGGTTCTAACTGGGGAGATTCAGAAAAGTATCATCAAATGGGTAACCAAACCAAAATTTCACCTAACCAAAAATTTCAGTCTCTCCTTATTATATCTTTTAGGAGTCAAATGTATTGATCTGAGATTTCTTTCTTTTATTTTTTCCTGATAAACTTGAGCAGTAAAATGGTCTAAAGTCAGGCAGTGTAAGGAGGGAGGTAAAGTCATGTCTCAAGATCAGGGGGGATGGAAATATTCTCTGTCTGTGCTATCCAAAGTGTTAACCAGTAATCACACTTAGGTATTGAGTACTTAAAATAGGGCTGGTGTGACTGAGGAACTGTATTTTAAATTGTATTTAATATTTATTAGTTTGTAAATATATTTTATTGATTTTTTACAGAGAGGAAGGGAGAGGGATAGAGAGTTAGAAACATCGATGAGAGAGAATCATCGACCAGCTGCCTCCTGCACACCCCCTACTGGGGATGTGCCCGCAACCAAGGTACATGCCCTTGACCGGAATCGAACCTGGGTCCTTTCAGTCTGCAGGCCGACGCTCTATCCACTGAGCCAAACCAGTTAGGGCTAATATTTATTAGTTTAAATTTGAATAGTCATGTGTCTAGTACCTACTGTATTGGACAATGCAGGTCTGGATAATACATGGTTACTCACTGAAAATACGGAGACCTGGCATTTTACGTAGTGAGCTTGTTCAGGATCTTGTACATGAGCTATTGTGTTGTTCAGCCAAATTCTTGCCACTAAACTACTTTCTAACACTGAGACTATGCCCCTTATCTATGTGACTTACTGACATCCATTGTCTTCTCTGTTGTTATTATTTTTAAAATATATTTTTATTGATTTCAGAGAAGAAGGGAGAGGGAGAGAGAGATAGAACCATCAATGTTTAGAGAGAACCACCAATTGGCTGCCTTTTGCATACCCCCTACTGGGGTTTGAGCCTGCAACCTGGGCATGTGCCCTTGACTGGAATCAAAGCCAAGACCCTTCAGTCCACAGGCCGATGCTCTATCCACTGAGGCAAACCAGCTAAGGCGTCTTCTGTTATTATTTATTTATGTATGTATGTATTTATTTATTTTTCTTCAAAAAGCTTTATTGTTTCATTTGGTCCAATGCATGGGAGAGGGCTTCAGGGTGGTTAAGAGAATGACTAGTAGTTTTGGGAAGAGGCTCAAGTACCAGGGGAATGCAGAGGGTCCTCTGAAAGGCCTCTGGTCTCCAAAGTCTCTTAGTCTTGCTTGAGGGTGAGCCTTTTGAAGAGATATTCACCCAACCCAGCCTGAGGGCCAGTTAGCCTATGGATGTTAGTCAGGTGGTCGCCCATCTTCTTGATCGGTTTCACCTCATCCAGGAAGTAGTTCACCAGAAAGTCACAGAGATGAGGGTCTGCATGGGTAGAACCCAGGGCATGCAGCTCCAAAAGGGCCTGGTTCAGGTTCTTCTCCAAGGGCAGGGCAGCTTCCATGATGTCCTGAGTTTTGCTCCATTCATCTTGGGAAGGTTTCAGCATGCCCTGAAAGAGAATGCGGCCACCACGCTTGTTTTGCAACTTAAAGAGATGCTCAGTGCCCTCACGTTTCTTCTCCACCAACTTGCGGAAGAAGTGGCCCATGCCTCGAGAGCCACATCATTACTGTTGAAATAGTAGCCCAGAGAGAGGTAGTTGTAGGAGGCCTCACAGATGCAGGTCAGGTGATTGACTGCAGCCTCCACCTCAGTGGAATAATTCTGACAAATTTGAGAGCTCATGGTTATTCGGCAATAAGGAGTTAAGGTAGAACTGGTGTGTTGGTTGGTCCCGGAGGTGATTCTGAAGGTGGTAACTGGATAAGACGCAGGAGGGTGGTCGAAGGTGTCCCTGGGTCTGTTCCATCCAAACACTGTTGAAGCAAGAGACAGATCCAGGACTGCTCAGGGCACTGACTTCTCTGTTATTTATTTATTTTTATTTTATTTTTATTATTATTATTTTTAAAATACATTTTTATTGATTTCAGAGAGGAAGGGAGAGGGAGAGAGAGATAGAAACATCAATGATGAGAGAGAATCATTGA